CCAAGGGAGACTGGGAGAGGGGCGCAGAAGCACAGGCTGCGCAAAAGGGAGATGTGGGAGATGTCCCTGACGAGAGGCCGCAGCCCTCACAGGGCACTGCAGCCAGTTTGTTTCCACAGTCCATGTCCCCGGCAAAAAAATATGCCACCAGAACCCCAGGCAAGGAAGGGGACCCCAGCAGGCACCACCCCCGCAGGCCGCCCCCAGAGCCGAGGAAAGTGCCCTCCACCGCGACCTGGTACACCCTGAGCCGTCCTTCAGGTAAGGATCCACAGGGCCACAACACCCCTACGTGACCCCAGAAGGTGACCGAGGGGGAGGAGGGGGAAGGTGGGAGGGGAGGGAGAGGGAGAGGGGAGAGAGGGCAGGAGCCAAAGGATCCAGGCACGCGCCAGCGGACCCCCCATCCCATACATACCCCAGGAGGATGCGACCATCCGCAGACCAGGCACCCCCCTCCATGCCGAAAGCAGCGTAGGGGACATCAAGAAACCCACAGGTGCTTGCGGAAACCTGGCGCCCCCGACCGCAGCCGCGGCGCCAGTCACATCCACCGCTGTCAGAACACAGTGCAGTGAGGGGTTCCCCTATCCACGCTAAACAGCGGGACTGAAGGAGGAACAAAAATGACCAGTGTATGGCCAGTTTAACCATTAAAAAAGCTCCAAGAGATAAAACTGAGGCTGGGTTCACACCTAGGCGTATCAAATATGCTCGTTTGTCGCGCGTTTGACGGTGCGACAAACATGCGTTTCCGAGGGCTACTTGGCTGTATCCCAATGGAAACGCGCGACAAAAACGCCCCAAAGAAGCTCCTGTACTTCTTTGGGCATAGGACGTTTTGTAGCGCGTTCATACGGCCTGCAATACGCCCAGGTGTGAACCATACCCATAGGAAATAATGGGATTTCGGTGTTTGAGCGTTTTGCAAAGCGTAGGAACGCGCTACAAAACGCCCAGGTGTGAACCGGGCCTGAGGGTCATCATAAGGAATAAAACAAATCAGACCTGCTTTAGAAACGGCTATTCATCATGTCTTGTCAGCAGCAAAATCATCATCAATAAAGCAGGCAATCAGCAGTACCAGGATTTAAGAGTCAGCTGTCAATTTTCAGGTTGACAGAGCATAGGGGAGGGGGGAGCGCCGTCATATGCTTTCAGTAGGTTCCACCGCTGGATCAAAATGACATCAACAGGGCTGAGCTGACTGCTGAAGTTACTAAAATCTAATAAAAAGCTCAGGGCATCGTTCATTCATCTGCATGCAATATCACGTGGGATTTGGTCCCTACCACCACCATATACCCAGATGGACAAAGATGAGACTCTGCTGTTGTCTGGCAGCCCTCACATTAAGACATGGCTGTTCAGAATGACAGCAAAAGCCAAAGAGTTAATGGTGTATCATTCCAAAATAGCAACAAGTCTGTGCAAAGGAACGGCCATAAAACAATCCCTGGAAGGAAGGAGCACTTCAGATTTCGGAGAACATCCTCTCGGTCAACAACAATATCATGATACAAAGGCAAGAGATCATTCTTAACACATGGAAGTTGTATTTACGAACAGAGGTGAGAACATACAGGGGATGCTGTAACCAAAAGTAACAGTGAAGTCCAGCTTTCTTCATCTTGGAACAGCAGTGTAATGATAACCGAGTTCAAGGTTAGGAGACCCCCACAGAACTATAGTGTACAGCTAGTATTGTCTCCTACAGTGCCTTGCAAAAGTATTCACTCCCTTGGTGTTTTTCCTGTTTTACTGCATTACAACCTGGAATAAAAATTGACTTTTTAAATGGTTTGCTACAGACAGCTGTGGTATCTAGTACCAAGCCGTCAGTAGCAGATCCCTTAGGTCCTGTAAGTTGCAGGGTGCGGCCTCCAAGGATCGGACTTGTTTTTACAGCACATCCCACAGATGCTCAATTGGATTGAGATGTGGAGAATTTGGAGGATAAGTCAACACCTCAAACTTGTTGTTGTGTTCCTCAACCCGTTCTAGAAACCTATTTGCAGTGTGGCAGGGAGCATTATCCTGCTGAAAGAGGCCCCTGCCATTAGGGAATAGCGTTCCCATGAAGGGGTGTACTCGGTCAGCAACAATGTTTAAGTAGTTGATACATGTAACATCCACATGAATGGCAGGACCCAAGGTTTCCATGCAGAACATTGCCCAAAGCATCACACTGCCTCCATGCTTGCCTTCTTCCTCTGCTGGAAGTCTGTTTAGAACATCAACTGCTCTTTCAATAAAATAATACTTCCTAAGGTTAGTTTTGAACTTTCCTTGCGCTAGTTTAAGGTCATGTCCCCATGTTCTTGATCTTAGTTCATACGGAAAATACCGGCCTCCTTATCTTTAAAGTATTTAAACGTTTCAATAATGCCCCCATTTTCCCTACTTTCCTCAAGACTGTTCATATTAAGTTCCTGCAGTCTCTCCTGATATGTTTTATCCCTCAGTCCTTTCACCATTTCTGTTGAGCGTATCTGGAGGTCTCTAGAATTGGACATAGTATTCTAAATAAGGTCTAACTAAAGATCTTTATAGGACACTCAGGACCTCCTTCCTCTTGTTGGTGATCCCTCTAGAGATAACCAAAGATAAATATATGGGAATTAGGACTTCCTTCCCGCTGGTGATACCTCTAATGAGAACTAAAGATCTATATAGAGGAATCAGGACCTACTTTCCTCCTGCTGGCAATTCCTCTACTGATAACCAAAGATCAATAAAGGGGAATTGGGACCTCCTTCTTCCTGGTGGTGGTTCCTTTAGTAATAACTAAAGATCTATATAGAGCAGGGGTGGGCAACTCCCTCCAGCTGTTGTTGAACTACAAGTCCCATGAGGCACAACTGACAGTTATAGGCATGGCTCCCATCGGAAGAAGCATTTGGGGATTTGTAGTTAAAGCACAGTATGTGTTGCCCAGCCCTGATATGGTGGAATCAGGACCTCCTTCCTCCTGATGGTCACCCCTCTAGTGATAACTAAGGATCTATGCATAGTATTAGGACCTCATTCCTCCTGATGGTCACCCCTCTAGTGATAACTAAGGATCTATACATAGTATTAGGACCTCCTTCCTCCTGATGGTCACCCCTCTAGTGATAACTAAAAGATCTCCAGGACCTCCTTCCTCCTGCTGGTGATCCCTCTAGTGATAACTAAAGATCTATACATGGTATTAGGACCTCCTTTCTCCTGATGGAGATCCCTCTAGTGATGCCCCCCAACATTCTATTTACTTTTCACACTTCCAGGCCACACTGTCTGCTCATTTTGCAATGATCTGATGCAAGCACCACCAAATCTTTTTCCACTGTAGTTCTGGCCAACACTGCACTCTATTAGAAGACCCCCCCATGTATTATTTTGCATTGAGAAATGTGGAACTGCAGCTTTCACTAACCTTCCAGCAATGGAAAATCATGTTCCATGTTATAAACACCTCCAGGAACATCGTCCCCATTGCCCACCAAACCTTCAACTACCCTGTTTCCCCGAAAATAAGACCTACCCCGAAAATAACACCTAGTACTATTTTTGCGAATTGCTAAAATATAAGACCTACCCCGAAAATAAGACCTAGTTGTGACCATACCCAGGGCCGGCGGTGGCATAAGGGGGAACTTTAAGAGTCGTGGGAGAGGCGGGAGGGATTCACGGTGCCAACGAAGCCAGCGCTGTAGGAAGCGAGTCGGCACCGGAGGGAGCAGAGCTGCATAAGCCGATGCCTCCTCTATAGTGCCGGCTCCTGTCACAGGCAGAGTCATACCAAATGCACTCCGCCTGTGAGGAATCCATAGTGAAACCGCGCTTCGCTCATTCTGGTTACCAAATTGCTCTTGGAAACGTACGGTGCCCCTGATTGCCCTGATCACCAGATTCTTAACTTTGCCATTTTGGAATATTTAATTTGGATTTGCATTAACTTTGGATTGTTGCACATTAAAAAAAATAAGACCTACCCCGAAAATAAGACCTAGTATGTTTTTTTGAGCCAAAAAAAATATAAGACAGTGTCTTATTTTCGGGGAAACACGGTATATCCCTAACCTTCAACTATATCCCTCACAAACAGTACAAGCCCCCCATTTACACTAGGGTAACGTGTGAATGGGCGCCAACTCCCATAAGTTCATGGAATTTGCGTCATGCTTGTGGTGCAATTAATTGCAAACAAAATCCCAAACAAACAAAAAAGACACCTGACAAACATGCAAAGCCCAAAGCTCAAAAAAATTGCGTGAGCTTCTGTGCCACTCATTGAAATGAACGGGCTGCACTATCTGTGACGCACAACACGTGCAAA